CCATCGTATGCTAAGCCGGTCGAGGGACGGCAGTCCTTCAAGATTTCGGCGTTCATGATTTCCCTAGTAAAGGGAGAGGTGATCCCAACCCGTGCTGGCGGGGTTTGTTGGGGCGTCCGATTGACCTGCTCTCTGAGCTCAGTCATCTGTCTTCTCATTTCGGCCATTTCGTCGTCTTGGGCCGTTCGGGGAGTGTGTGGTATCCGAGCATCCACACATTCCGGTATTCTGTTTCGGGGAGGGGCCGTTGTGTTAGCTCTTCTCCGGATGAAGCGTTCCCCATTCCTCTGGATATACTGGAAGTGTTGTCCAACGGGATCTACCATGGGGGTAGGTTCCCTATATCCGTTTCGAGGGGCGGACGGGGTTCGGCTGGCCGGTGCTTCACGTCTGGGGGTATGGGCCCTCCAGTGGTTCCTGCGGTGTTCCTCGGAATGTACTGAGGCCATCGTGGTCTCAATGTCCTCGTCTTCGTCGAAAGATGGCATGGGACGCAACGGGGATGGTGGCTCATGAGTTTCATCGGTGTAGCCCCGTTCCTGTTCGTCCGCCATGCGTTGCATGGCCTCCGCCATCTCCCTCATCAACTGAGGGTTCATCCTTACATCCTGGGGGATGATTTGCTCGAACTCCCGGGTGGCACTGCCACTGGCGTGTCCTTGCCTGGACCACCCCTCAGAGGATCTATTGCCTCCCCGGCCTCTGGATGTAGAACTCGGTGTCGCGGTAGTAAGTCTAGCCATTTTCAAGAAAAAATGGTGCTTAGATCTCGGCTTTGCCTGGACTTTTAGTGTGGTTTCCCACAGACGGCGCCAATGTTGAGGTTTATCCTTGAAGATCCGAAAGCCCAACACAAGCCTTGGATATTGTAGGGATATTGGGTAGGGTTGAAATGTGTATAAAATATAAAATAGTGAAATAATATCCAACTCAAGAACTTACTTATACTCTGTAATTAAGCAATTACACTGAAACTACCCGAACGGTAGATGAATATTAGATTACAAGGATGGGAGATATAAATCTATTGCTAAGCTCTGAGTATTAAAATGCTAACCCTTTACAATGATCTAAACATGGGTATTTATACTATAATAGGGATGGGTGAGGTGGACACGTGGCCAAATCTGGTAGGCTGTGACTTCTGCCATGTATGCACCCATGCCCCCACTTGCTGCCGTCATGATCCAGCATTAAATGCGGCCTCCACTTGCTGATTGCCCGCTCGAGCAGGGTGTTCGGTGTGTGGGCCCCCGCCATAGGTGCTATCCTGCTTATGGACATATCCCGAACGCCGATCGGTATCTCAGCCATAGGTGATCTAGTTAATGGAAGTATCCCGAACGCCGATCGATACCTGGCCTTGATACTTTGGCATAATTGTTTCCCGGAATGTTCCAAGCATAAGTTTTATCCCGAATGCCGTTCGGGAGTTCTTTGGACTGCCTTGGGCCCGCTGCTTTTTCCCGGGTTTGGGCCTAGGGGTATTGGGCCTGGACCTAATATCCCAACAATACTAATTATAATAACAATTACAATAATCACTACAAGAAAAGTGCACATAGACTGCACATGGACCACAATTTTTTTTGCTATGGCATCATAACTGTTGTTAAAAACACCATTAACCACACATTTTTTTATTTACCACGCACAAAACTGTGGTAAAAGCTTAGAGCTGACAGTTTTTAACCGTGGCCAATGTTTTTACCACAGCTGTTGTGCCAACGCACGTAAAACTGTCGCAAAACTGTCGTAAAAACATAAGGAGGGTCATTTACGACAGTTTTGCGTCAGTTTTGCATGCGTCGCCACAACAGCCGTGATAAATACATCGGCCACGGTTAAAAACTGTCGCCTCGGACCTTTTACCACAGTTTTGTGTGTGGTAAACAAAAAAAAGTGTGGTTAATGGGGTTTTTAACGACAGTTATGCGGCCATCGCAAAAAAAAAATTGGTCTAAGTGTGGTCTATGTTCACTTTTCTTGTAGTGAATAACAAGAATAATAATAATAAATTAATAATAATTATTATTATTATTATTATAATTATTAATATAATAAAAGGGATAAATCATGTTTGAATGTTCCTGATCTGAATGTTTCTGATCTGATCTGAATTATTCTGATCTGATCTAAATGATTCCGATCTGATCTGAATGATTCTGATCTGATCTGATCTGAATTTTTCTTATCTGATCTGAATAAAATAAGAATAAACAATAAGTAATAAGATTAAGACGAACAGAACAGCTTCTAAATCATTACTTCTTCTGTCCGTATTGTTTTCCGCGTGCGTAGCATCCGCTTCCGTTCTTTTCCCAGCCATCCCTATACTCTCTTTCTTTTTGCCATCGTATTCTCTTTCCGCATTCACTCTTTCTTTTGATTTTTTTCCCCCTTTGTTTGAAAGGAAAGGATTTAATTAACATTAATCGAATCGTTCGCTAACACGGATACGATGAAAGGAGGAGGAGAAAATAACCAAAATTGCGAGTCAGGCAAAGAATAGGCCGCCCTAGCTAACAAATGAGTCGGCTTATTCGCTGACCGCTTAACATGACTAAAAGAAATGCAAATGAACTTTATGTTAAACTCGAACGGATGTTAGACTCCAGTTAGACTCTCTGATGTGAGGACTTCCACCATCGCTGTTATTTTCAGAAAAAATATCAAAAAGAAAGTGAAATACAAGTTATGAAGCAGAGATTACAATTTTGAATATTAGACTCCTAATACTCAACATAATATGTCTGATGCTCATTAAAAGTTCATTAGTGCTCATTTACCAGAAACGGTGATTTTCATCTTGATAGTGGAGGTTTGATGTTCAATGAAAATGTCATGATGTTAAACTAACAAACCTTACGATTTAATAACAAAAAGAAAATGAAATACAAGTTATGAAGTAGAGATCACAATTCTGAATATTAGACTCCTAATACTCAACATAATATAATTGGTCTGATGCTCATTAAAAGTTCAGTAGTGCTCATTTACCAAAAACGGTGATTTTCATCTCGATAGTGCAGGTTTGATGCTCAATTAAAATGTCATGATGTTCAACGAGCAGTAGTTTTTTTATTATATTTTTCTGAACCATCTTTCAATTGTTTTATGAGTTAATTATCAAAATAGGACTAAAAGTCATTCACTTTGCACAAATAGGACCAAAAAATAAACTATGTTTCCATAGGACTAATTATGTGTGTCTTGGACACACATAATTGGAATGTTTTAATTCATAATAAAATAATAAAATAATAAAAATTCGTAAAATATACCAAAATATTAATAAAAATATTTTGAATAATAATAATTTTTAAAAAAAAAATTAAAAAAAAAATTAAAAAAAAAATTAAAAAAATTAAAAAAAAATCAATTTTTTTTGTCACCGCCGCCTCTGCCGCCCCAGCACCACCACCTCTAGTCATTTGGGGAAAAATGCCAAATTTATTATGAATTCCATATTTTTGGCATAATTCAGAATGATTTAAGATGGAAGAAAAAAAATGTTGGCATTGTCAAAGAGAAATATGCCATATTGTAGGAAATATGGCAATTTTTTTAACGGTCGGAGGTGGTGGTGCAGGGAGGCGGTACCACCACCTCCTGTCACCGGGGTAAAAAAATGCCAAAAAATTTATGAATGCCATATTTTTGGCAAAAGTCAAAAGGATTCAAGTTGGCAGAATGAAAATGTTGGCATTCTCATAGAGAAATATGCCATTTTTGTGGAATTTAAAAAAAAAAGTGGCATTTTTTACATCGATCGGAGGTGGTGGTTCAGGGAGGTAGTACAGGCGGTGGGAAAGGTATCCATATTTTTTTTTATTTTTTGTATGGAGTTTTACGATTTTTTATTAATTTTCAAAAAAAAAAATTAAATTTTTTTTTCTTATTTTTTATTTTATAAAAATTTTATTAATTTTTTTATTATTTTTCTACGAATTATTGAAATTTTTTCGAATTTATTATGAATTAAACATTTAATTATGACTTTTAGTTATCTCTTACTAATATTTAAAGGAGGGGTAAGAATGGAAGGAAGAAATGGGTATGTTTCCAATAGGACCACTATGGTCCTATTTTGGAATAAAAAACATAACAAGTCCTATTTTGAGTTTTTGCCATAGTTTTAGTCCTATTTGAAATAATTTCTATTGTTTTATACTAGTAATTTTCTTTTAATTCTGAGTCTTCTGTTGTTTTCAATAAAATGTACAATGGGGGTTGGAGTTTTTCAAAGAGCACACCAAAAACTAACTACATAGATAATGATATCTATTTATAAGTGTTTCACTACTTCCCAATAAAAATTCCAGCTTTAAAATTTATTATCTGAAAAATGGACGGTGTGGAAATAGCTCATGATCTCTATAATTTCAACTAAAAATGTTCGGTTTTTATAGACCGCCAACTGACCAACCCAGCATCTCGGAAGTCTGCAATTTTTTTTGCTTATGCAGTAAAAGAAAGATGGCAAGAAACACAGATTTCTTAATGTAAGTTCAATCAACCAATGATCTCTGCATCTACTGAGGTACCGCAATCTTCACATGATCCTGAATGCGGTGATGATCATTACAACAGCCTTTATTTTCTTCTTTGGCCTTGTTTGGCAATCTGTTAGCTGTTAACTGTTGGCTGGTTATGATAGCTGGTTGACAATAGCTGGTGTGTTAGCTGTTTTGATTGGCTAATTATGTTAGCTTGTTGTGAGCAAATGTTTGGTAAATTAGTTGTTCAAAAATATAAAGGATAAACATTAACTTATTTAATCATTAATTAATTAGTGTATATCCTTCTGTAACTACTTATGTATATCTCTCGTGTAACTGACTACATGGAGTCATACTAGGACTCTATTACTAGCTGTATATATACGGATGTAATACTCAGTTTCTAATATCAAGAATACACATTCTCTACATGGTATCAAGAGCCATATAGAAACACTCATCAATTTTTTCTCTTTCTCTTCGCCATGGAAATTACGCCAACAACCGAGATTGTTCATCTCAATGCTCCAACGAATTTTCCAATTAAGCTCTCTGCCGGCAATTTTCCAGTTTGGCGTAGGCAAGTTGAGGCTACCCTTATTGGGTATAATCTTCTTCCCTACATTGACGGATCTCTCAAACCTCCATCCAAGTTCACGGATGCTGAGAAACGGATTCCTAATCCATGTTATTCCATTTGGTATCGTCAAGATCAAATCTTGATCAGTGTGTTTCTTGGCAGTTGTACTGATTCAGTACAACCTCTCCTTTCATCTGCCACAACCTCTCAAGAAGCCTGGTCAACTCTTCTCACTAGCTATGCCAACGCTTCTCCAGGTCGCATTTTAGCCCTCAGGAACAAGTTATCTCGTAATCCTCGTGGCACTCGCTCAATATCAGATTACTTGAAAGACATGCAACAAATTGCATCTGAACTTGCTTTGGCTCAAAATCCTGTTTCGGATACTGAGTTTCAGATTTCTATTCTGAATCAATTGGGTGAAGATTATCGCCCAATTATTAGCGCTATCCGTATTAGGAATACACCCATGTCAATGATTGAGCTCTCTGACATTTTGACTGATCATGAACGGTTTTTACAAGCATCAGAAGATGCTGCCGCCTCTCTTATTCCTACGGCAAATAACACTCAGCGCTATTTGTCACATGGGCCATCTCAATCTGATTCTCGCAAGCGTGAGATCTCATCCTCTAATGGACATCGGGCACGATCTAATCAACGCTCCTCTTCTGCTACTAATGGGTATTCATCTCCGTCATCTTCTCCTGGGCGTTCCACTCCTATTTGCAGGTTCTGCAACTTTCCAGGACACGTGGTTAAAGATTGTCGCAAGCTGGCTCGTTTTTTACGTGACAATCATCTCAGTGCATCTCCTATGGTGCATCACACCATGACTAATGCAGGTTCTTCTCAGCCTTGGATGTTTGACTCTGGTGCGTCTCACCATACAGCTTCTGATGTGGGTTCTTTACAAGAGTTTTCTACCTATGATGGTCCGGATGAGATTCGTTTGGGTAATGGTATGTCTCTTCCCATTTCTCACATTGGTCACACTACTGTTTCAACATCTAACCGTCCTCTCACCCTTACAAATGTTCTTTGTGTTCCCACTCTTCATAAAAATCTTGTTTCAGTTTCCCAACTTTGTCATACTAATCATGTTTCTGTGGAATTTTTCCCTTCCTATTTTCTTGTTAAGGATCAGAAAACGGGAAGTCTGCTCATGAAGGGTAAAAACATCAATGGCGTTTATTATGCACCATCGGCACATCCTCCGAGTATTAATGCCACCAGTTTGTCCAGCGTGTCTCAGTTTCATCACAGTCTTGGTCATCCATCAAATAAAATCTTAGCTACTATATTCAATAAATGTAATATGACTGTACCTCATCGGTCCATTAGTGATTTTGTTTGTAATTCTTGCAATATCAATAAAAGTCATAAATTGCCCTTTACCACTAATTCTCTCACAAGTACTCATCCTCTAGACCTTATTTATACTGATGTTTGGAGTACTAAACAAAAGTCTGCTGATGGCTATCTTTATTATGTTATATTTGTGGATCATTTCACCAAATATAGTTGGCTCTATCCTCTAAAGAAAAAATCAGATGTATGTGCCATCTTTCCACAGTTTAAAAGGCTTGTTGAGAATAAATTCAAACACAACATTGTAACGTTGTTTTCGGACAATGGGGGTGAATTTATTAAATTACTACCCGGTCTCAATTTAGCTGGTATATCTCACATTACCACTCCTCCTCACACTCCTGAACAGAATGGGACCGCTGAGCGTCGCCATCGTCACATAGTTGAGACTGGGTTATCTCTTCTTCATACCGCGTCTCTACCACTTACATTTTGGCCTCATGCGTTTCAAACATCAGTCTATCTTATAAATCGTCTTCCCACCCCATTACTAAATTATGCCTCTCCCTACGAGCGTCTCTTTAAGTCCACCCCTAATTATGTCAAATTACAGCCTTTTGGTTGCTTATGCTTTCCCTGGTTACGCCCTTATATTAGTCATAAACTTCAACCCCGGTCTATTCCGTGTATCTTCTTAGGGTACATGGTTTCTCAATCTGCCTATAAGTGCTTTGATCCTGTGTCCACCAAAGTCTATGTTTCCCGTCACGTTAAATTTGTCCCACACGTTTATCCAGCTGCCTCCATATTCTCGTCCACCGTCTCTTCTTCCAGTATACCCACACCATGTAATTCATTTTCCTGGATTCCTTCTACCCATACGCCTATGTCTCCCACGTCACCTACTCATATACTCTCCAGTCAGCATCTTCATAATAACCATTCCTCTCTTCCATCCTTATCTAATGCCGTCAACACCCCCAACTTACCACCCACACCCATTTCCTCCCCAGATTCATCTCCTCACTCGTCCCAAGTTTCTGCCCATCCACCACTTACCGACACTTCCTTGTCGTCTTCTAATCCACCTTACACTAACTCTTCCACTCTTCCACCGTCTGATTCTCATAACCATATTCCTTCTCGTCCATCACGTTCCAAACATCCTAATCCTAAGTATTTCGGTCCTTCCTTTGTTAATATATCCACCGTTCATACTCCTGTCCAAACAATTGAACCTCGGACCATTGCTCAAGCTCTAAAGGATCCACTCTGGCGGCGTGCTATGGATGAGGAGTACTCTGCCTTACAACGAAATGAGACTTGGGATCTTGTGCCTCACACTGGGCAGTCTATTGTTGGTTGCAAATGGATCTTTCGTATTAAACGCAAATCCGATGGGTCAATTGATCGCTACAAAGCCCGTCTCGTAGCTAAGGGCTATTCACAGGAAGCAGGACGTGACTACTCTGAGACCTTCAGTCCTGTTATGAAGCCTGTTACAGTCCGTATTGTTCTCTCTTTAGCTTTACAAAAAGGTTGGTCAGTCCGCCAACTTGATATTAATAATGCTTTTCTCAATGGAACACTTCATGAAGAGGTTTATCTTGCACAACCACCAGGCTATGTTGATACTCAGCATCCTACACATGTTTGTCGCCTCCGGAAGGCACTCTATGGCTTGAAACAAGCCCCTCGGGCTTGGTATGTTGAATTATCAGATTTCTTAATCCAATTTGGATTTTCTAAATCCAAGGCAGATCCCTCATTGTTTATATATGCATCCCGCGGTGTTCTCCTGTATTTTCTCGTCTACGTTGACGATATTGTTCTCACAGGTAACAACACTGTCTTCTTGGATCAATTCACTCGTATCCTTGCAGCTCGGTTCTCATTGAAAGACCTGGGATCTCTTCATCATTTCTTGGGTATTGAAGTTATAACCACCCCATCTGGTATGTTTCTCTCTCAGACGCAATACATTAATGACATTTTAATCCAGTTTCACATGGATGGTGCTAAACCTGTTTCTACTCCTATGGTCTCTAATGAACGCCTTCCACTTGCTGACTCTTCCCGCGCCGTTGATATTTCGGACTATCGTCGTCTTCTTGGACTACTTCAATATCTTGCACTCACCCGTCCTGACATTTCTTTCTCAGTTAACAGGCTCTCTCAATACATGCATGGGCCCTTGGAAGCTCATTGGTTGGCTGCAAAAAGAATTTTACGATACCTAAAGGGTACTACTTGTCATGGGCTATTGTTACGGGCTACTCCTTCAACGGGTCTTACTGTTTTTACTGATGCAGATTGGGGTGGCACCTCCACATCTGGACGATCTACCACTGCATTTATTATTTATCTTGGCAATAATGTTATCTCCTGGAAGTCAGCTCTTCAAAAGTCTGTGTCTCGTTCCTCCACGGAGGCCGAGTATCGGGCTATTGCTAATGCCACCGCTGAAGTACTCTGGATTCAAAATCTTTTATCTGAACTTACCGTTTCTTTATTGGCACCTCCACAGCTCTTTACTGACAGTCTGAGTGCTACTTATGTCTGCAAAAATCCAGTCTTTCACTCACGCATGAAGCATCTTTCACTAGATTATTTTTTTGTCAGAGATTTAGTTACTGCGGGGTCCCTATCTGTTCAGCATGTCTCTTCCAAAGCTCAGCGTGCGGACGTTCTCACCAAACCATTGAGTCGGGCACCCTTCCTTCACTTTCGGTCCAAGATTGGAGTCTCTGACGGATCCTCCATCTTGCGGGGGCATATAAAGGATAAACATTAACTTATTTAATCATTAATTAATTAGTGTATATCCTTCTGTAACTACTTATGTATATCTCTCGTGTAACTGACTACATGGAGTCATACTAGGACTCTATTACTAGCTGTATATATACGGATGTAATACTCAGTTTCTAATATCAAGAATACACATTCTCTACAAAAAATAGTTGTTTACATGTAAAAGACATATAAGGATATTAGTATTTAATCTATTTTTTATTAAACATTTCAAAAATTTTACGTTTTGTTTTCCGTTAGAAATAAATTTTATATTAAAAGGGATTGAGGTAAAAAACCAAAAAGGATAAAGGTGAAAATTTAAAATATGATAAAAAGAGATAATTTTAATTATCAATTACCCACTTTGAGTTGTGTGAAAAATGTTGGCTGACATTATCAACGAAGCATGTAAAAAGGAAAAAGCCATAAAGATGAAAAGGAGATATTTGTTTAATCTTTGAAGTATTCTGCTCGAAAATTCCAATATTGATCAACAAAGAAACAAACATAGCATCGGCCATCAGGAGTCCCACAGTAGTTCGGCGATAGATGAAAATAAAGATTCAACAAATAGAGATTAATGAAGGGTAAAAAGGAATTTACAAATCAGCTATAACCAAACGCTGCTACCCCAGCTTCTTCGTTTTCGGCTGGTCGAGACCAAACATCCAACGGAAGCAGCTGATTACCAAACGACATTGTCAGCTGCTTGAAGGGTCAAACCATCTAATTTTGGTCAAAGCAGCTAAAAGCCGGCTGATAAGCCGTTTTCCAAACAGAGCCTTTATCGCTGAAATCTTCGTCAAAAGGCTCCTCCTTGTGGAAAATACAACATTTCTTAGAGTTTTTCCTGTTGAGTAACTCGTTTTCCACTGCCTTCCTTCCACGAAATTGATTTCCAGATGGAATGTGCGTATGATGGATTGATGATGAAGTAAGACTTCCGGAAGATGGAGGAGAAAGGAAAAATACCGGGAGCTATGTACTTCGTACAAAATAACAAAACGAAGAACGTGTCCGAATTGACTTTATTAGTTATTGGCCTGTTCATTTAATTGGCCGGGTGTACGTACATCTGGATGTATGATATAGGGACTGTATAATTGTGTTTATAACACCCTATTATCTCTACATATATGTTCGTTTATGTTTTAGTCTGTAATTTTCTCCCATTAGTATCCTCTAATGTTTTGCAATTATAGAACATTTCCAGACGAATTATTGGTTGTGAAGATATTTGCATTTGTTGTTTTTCAATTCCATATAAAATTAATAG